CAAGGTAGCGATGGTCAACCCTATCAAATGCCTTGGACTGATGTAAATTGATCAGCACGCTCTCATCGTCTTTTACACCCTCTATGATCGTGCGGATCACATGCAGGTTGCTCTGAATTGTTCGGCAACTCACAGCGCAAGTCTGCTCAGGACCCAATAGACTCGACAACTGACTGCAAACGTTCCTGCAGGATTTTGGCCAAAATCTAACTGTGTTTAGCAGAGTTATGGGCCTATAGTCATCTAAATATCGCCCAACACCCTTGCCCTTTTTTTTAACAGCGTGATCACACCCTGCTGAACCGGTAGGGGACGCCCCCCCACCTCTGGCGGAATCAGTTGTTGAACATAAGTCAAAATCGGGACAAAGATGTGCGATAGCCTCAAGTACAATTCAAAGGGCATACCATCCAGACCGAACGACTTGCCTCTGCCGGCCTTCTTCAATGCCGCGTAGACTTTGCCCTCCGTAATCTTTCCCTCGCAGCTAGCCGCTTCAGTTGGCGAAAGCCGTGGAAAGTCAGTCAAATCTCGAAATGCCGCCGAAACGTCTCGCACATGTCGTCACTGGCCCGAAGAGTATGCCCCCTTCGGAGTTTTGACTTCGCGAATGTAGCGACCGAAACCTCGACGGATCTCTTCCTTGCGCAATTCTGCGCCCATGTTCACTACTTCAGAAGACATCTTGCTTAACATGTCTAATTACCTGGCCCATGTAGGGCTCACTGATCAAACGCTCCAGGGTCTCCCTAACTAAGGCTATCTCTAGGGGATTCACACAGCCACTGCCTGGGAAAAACTATCCTTAAGCGTCTTCACCTTGTTAGCTCTATTTAGTGTGAGCCGTTTGCTAAACTCTGAAGGATCTAATCCTATTCTTAAGCCTCTCCTACCACCTATTCCCGATAACCGACCCCACTAGTTCCCGCTGCACTAGGCTAGTTAGCTGTTCCTGGAAGTCCCGCCTGTCCAGTAAAGACAGATTGAACTTTCAGTAACCAGTCATTCTAGGCCTACAATCTGACGCCATCCGGGCATAAACGAGTTTGTGGTCCGAATAGCCTGCCCGGTGGAACGTGGGACAATCTAACAAGTCTACGTCGACTCCTTTAACTAACATTCAATCCAGGTAGCTAACCACTCGGGTAGAAGGCCAATTGTGAGCCCATATCCACATCTTCCCCTCCCCCCCGGGGGTGATCGACCCGATGAGACCAAACTCTACGAGACCAACTCTTCAATCAGATCAACCAAGCTATGATCACCCCTTCTCCCGCTAGCTCCCTGCCCTTATCTAACTTGGGGTCCAGAATGGCATTCCTGTCCCCCATTAATACTAGGCGCGTTGATAACATCAGAAACGGTGCCAACCGCCGAAAAAACGAGACCCGCTCCTCCTGGTCGTTGGGCGCATAAACCTCAACAACTTGGAACGAATCACTTTTCACGGCAATATCGGCTACGATCAACCAGACCTCGGCATCCACATGAACAAGGTCCACCTTCGTATCCAGGGTACGTCTAACCAGAAAAGAAATTCCTCTGGCATAACCAGTCGCTCGACAGCACACGCACATCGACGCTGCAAAAAATGTGGTCTCTTCGATCGCGGCGACATCCACACCGAAAGACAAGAGATCCCGGAGCATGCGCGCAGCCTTACCCCGATCCCTCAAGCCCTTCGCATTCAGACTGGCTAACTTGATCGACATCTTTTAAGTCCTATAAAATCCACCTACTCTCATACCGGGTTGAAATCTGCAGAAGAAAGGACCCCGACGGATTGTCCCAGGCTTCCTGTGCCGAACTCCATCGTCATCCGACCATCCAGGACAATCAAGTTAGCTTGGCCGTCCTATATAAGGAGGGATGGAGCAAAACAGGCACCCTCCCAGCACAAAAATGTCTCAGTTCCTTCAAGTTTAGATTTTCCAGTTCAAATACCCTTATTTTTGTGTAGGCTTTTTCGCCTCAAATAAGTGGCTCCACGCCTTAAAGTATCCCCCGGTGTCCCTCACACGCGTGATCTCTCCTGGGGCGTGTGGAAAATTCCGGGGATCCTCGACTGACTTTCCGTCCAGTCTCCATCTTGGACAGAAGCTTGGCTTCGTCGTTATCGACCTTACATATTTCGTCTGGGTATAGGAATAGATTTTCTTCTCCCGCGTCCTGGGTATGACGATAAACTACGTTCAACAGCAAGGCGGTGTTTTCGGAAAAAAGTTGCCAGTTATACCTTTAATAGTACTGTATATTTAATATATATATATATATATAACTTAATTTGGCATTAAATGACCTACAGTGGTTGATATGCCATAAAACCCAACCAACCAAGGGACGAAGAGGGGAAGAAGTGGACGTGTGAGAGTGTGTGGAGATTGAACTAAGGAAGAATTGGATGGAGAGTGGGAGGGAGTATGGGAAGGTTTCTTCGGCTTCTCTTGGCGAAGCAGGGACGGAGAGTGACCTGGTTTTGTCCATGACCCTCTCCGCCCTGAGTGCTTTTGCGATGGCTCCTCCTCTTCTCTTCACCTTTTTAAGGATGACGCCCGAGGTGGAGGCATTATGCCCACCTCCATTGGCGTGTCAACTTGCTGCTTGTTTTTTGTTGGCGTTGTTGCTGTCGCTGCTGCTTTTGGTGCAGCTTTTTTTCTTTTTGCTGCACCTCCTTTTGAGTCTGCTTATTCTTCTCTCGCCTATCCTGCGATGATGGTTGCTGCTTCTTTTGAGGCACTTCCTGTTTTGCAGGAGACGGCACGTTGGTCGTTTTTCTGCTTTCCTTGACCCTCCTTCCAAGCCCCCTCATTGGTATTTGAAGATGGTCCCGCCTCTACTGGCGTTGCGACTACTGCTGCAGTCGTTGCTGGTGAGGCGGAGATTGTATACGTTTCTCGGGGAAGTCCTTACCCATGTGCCCCGAGGCCCAGCAACACGGTCCCCCCCCACTACTACCAGCATTCTTTTTCCTCGGCAAACCAGTATATTGGGTATTTCATTAAAATTCCTTCGGTCTACCGTGACATATATCTCCAGCTCCCCTGTCACTATTCCCGCCTTACTCATGAGGACCTTAACTTCATTCACCTGGCCGTATTTGGTGAAAAAGGTTCCCTTTTTGTCCTCGCAGATATCCACGGGCACTCCATGAATGGTAACTTTTATCCTCCGGGTGCCCATGTATTTTGTTTGCAAACGTATATTTTTGATATTCAGGACACTGCCTGCCAGTACCTTCGCCTGATGTTCTGTAGGTAGAAGGATATCCCATAATGCGTTAGTCCTCCTAGGCAACACCTTGGGACTGATATTCAATGCATCTTCCATTGATTCCCTACTGGCCCCAATTAATTTCCGAGTTTTAACATCGGAAGTCAGCAGGGATATTCACTGCATCCAAAGCCTCAGGAATTATAAGGAATGTTTCCTTTGAACGAATTCTCAAACTTGTCTCTCTGGTTAGCATAGTAGACGTTTTTTGTTTTTTTTTTATTATCGGTCTATTGTCAGACCATGCCGTAATGACTGGTGACACCGGCGGTGAATTGTTTAAATTCTTGTCCTCGGCCATTGTGGCGGAGACCAAACAAGTAAACTGTTTCCTTTTTTATTTTTGTTTCTTTAAATTTTTTACAACAAAAAACAAAATAAAACGGAAGAACGTGAACAAGCAATAAGCAATTCAAACAAATAAATACGAAAAAGGTAATGAAAAATAAAACCGAGGGGAGGATAAAGATACAAGGGGAAATAAACAAAAAAGAAAAGAACAAAATGCACGAACGAACAAATAAAAGGAATAGAAAAACTGAAAAATTCAAGAATTTCAGAAAATAAAAAAAACAACTTGTCAGTTCATCAAGTTCCGACACACGCAAAAACTACTAAGAAAAAAGGCAATAAGGCTTAGGCAGCGGATTGGCCCTCTTTATTCCATTTTATCAATATATGTGGGGGAGAAAAATCAACTGCTTGTATCTACAGTCGACTGTTCCATTATCAACAGGGGTGGAAGAGAGCTCTCAATTACTTCTGAATACTACAACAACCATACGTACATTTATCTTCCTTCCACTGAGCTTTTTGCATTGGTTATGGGGACTTATTCTGTCTGATTCACTGCCTTTTGCATTGAACATGTTAACCCATCTTTCATCACCTATTTATTTAAGAAACGGTTAGTTAGGATGATACATGCGTCGTTACATTTGGTTCTCAAAAACAGAACTTATGACTCAACCGCTTTTTTTTTTCTTCTTGTAAAGTCAATAAGACACAAGGGGATTGCTGATTGTGAAAGAATAAGAAAAAAAGAAGAAACAATATTAAGGAGCGAGAACAACAAAAGAAAAATCAAGACAGATAACGATTGACTTTGCATTTAAGTTTTTGAAGATCAAATTTGGCTGGTAAGCATGGAGCTAGAATAGATTTCCAGAAGCGAGATGTGCGTGAGAAAAAACTTAGCATAGAATTTACGGCTGCGTATAGTCAATTTAGCGTCCAGGGTAAGACGATAAACTACGTCCAACGGCAAGGCATTTGATTAGGAGGTTTTGAGAAACGTGGAACCACCTCTTAATTGCTGGTGTTCCCAGATCCACTCTGACCCGGGGTGGTAGCACCTGTTAGGGTCCCAGCTATGGACAAATAGTTAACTCCGAAACTGAGCTAAAAAGCATTATAAAAGGGTAATACGTTTTAATACTAGAAATACTTTGTAAAAAATGATTACCAGAAACAAATTTTTGAAGAATAAAAATATTACCAGAAATAGATTTTTTTAACAAAACAAAATATTACCAGGAATAAGTGAGTCGGCATTAAATAACCCATTGAGGTTGATATACCGTAAAACAAAAAAACTAGTCAATTCAATTGTAAATTGATGAGACCTTATCGCCAATCTAGTACTGCGATGAATGTCTAGGTAGCGTAGAGGAAAGTTCATTAGAACAATTACCATGAAGAAATACTTGCAGAATATTTATTAGACTTACCTGATAAAATGAGATGCGTTAGAGTGTCGTTTTGAATGATCGCATCGCACAAATCCCAAACACACAAGTTCAACTTATTTGACGAAAGCACCTGATGATAATAATAATAATAAAACGTTTCAATGAACCTCCTCAAGGAAAAGTGTTTTAAAAAAAACAGTTGAAAGTATTAGTTGGGATCAATAGACAATCACGCGTCGAAAGTGTAAAAATAGGTTTAATACTAGAAATACTTTGTAAAAAAAATTATTACCAGCAACACATTATTTTCAGAAATTCATTTTTGAAAAAAAATATTACAACAATTATAAAAATTGTCGGCACTAAATAACCCATTGAGGTTGATATGCTGTAAAACAAACGAAACCAATTACGCGTGTGTGTATTTCGTAAAAAAAAAAAAAAAAAAAACTTGATCTCCAAATTCGGAACAAGTTTCCAGATGACTACTTGTAAAATTTGTACTCTGATCAAGTCATTCTTAAAAAGTTGTTCGTCCTGAGTCTGACAATAAACACCCTGCACCAAGGGCTCTGGTCGAGAGGTTTTGAGGAGCGTGGAACCACCTCTTAATTGACGCTGTTCCCAGGTCCACCCTGACCCGGACTGGTAGCACGTATTAGGGTCTCAGCTATGGGCAAATAGTTAACCACCAAACAGGGGTCAACTATGGACGTATAAAAATTGATTTCTAAAAAATACCAGCAATACATTTGACTCTCGGCAAAAACTATATTTACAAAATTACATCAATGAAATCTGATCTACAGATTTCTTATAAATACATATTTTATTCATACAAATCTATTGTAAAAAAAAAAAGTCTTGTCGGCATTAAATGACCCCTTGAGGTTGACATACCGTAAAACAAAAACCAAACATATTAGGGGGTCTGTGGGGAGTCATGGTCACCTACGTCCCGAAGAAACATTTTTAAAATAAGTGCAATAAAACAATTTTCTGAGTTTGAAATTTAGATGTTCTCAGTAACAGATAATTGTGTTTAAAGCAAAACCATACTCTTTATGAAAATTGTTTATCAAATGATTATGTATGATAATTGAATTGTTTTACGTGAATTATTAATCTTATTCCTGGTATTTTACACCAAAGAGCTTGGTACTTTAATTCAATTTAATTCAAATTTTCGGCTCTTGTTTTGAAACATGAGAACTGTTATGTAGCGATGGAATCATATTTTTAAATAAATAATATATATATTTATATATATATATATATATATAAATAAATAACCCTTTGAGGTTGATATACCATAAAACAAACCAAACCGATAAACTACATCCAACAGCAAGGCCTCTGATCAGGAGGTTTTGAGGAGTATGGAACCACCTCTTAATTGCTGGTGTTCCCATGTCCACCCTGACTCGAGGTGACAGCAGTTGTTAAGGTCCCAGATATGGGCGAATAGTTAACCCCCAAGGTGGTGGGGTCAAGCCACTATGAAAGTGTAAAAATAGGTTTTAATACCAGCAATACATTTTTGTAAAAATTATTACCAGTAATGAATTTTTGAAGAAAAAATTATTACCAGCAATAAAAAATCTTGTCTGCATTAAATAACCCATTGAAATTGATGTGCCGTAAAGCGAAATAAAACTATATACCTTTTTCTACGGAGCTGAATTTAGTTTAAGGACCTTCCATTTTTTTGAAGATGCAATTTAATTTGTTCCGACAATCTTGTGTATGACGATAAACTACATCCGTCAGCAAGACCTTTGATCGAGAGATTTGAGGTTATGGGGAGCGTGAAAGCACCTAATTAGGGTACCAGCAATGGGCAAAATGGGAATCACCAAACATTTTGCAAAATACATCGTTTCGATGAACAGGAGGGAGTCGTCAGCAATGTGATATTCCTGGGCTCCTCAAGAATTTTGGGTCTCTCAACATCGTATCCCCCTCCCCAAGCTCAACTGATCGGAGCTTGATTCTCCTCCCACCACTCTCAGCAACAGGCTTTTTACGTCCATTTTGATACTGGTAAATATATTTATTGCTCAAAATGAACAATTGTGACACACAGCCTAGGGAACGTGGGGAGAGGCTGGTCGACACTAACCTACAACTAGCTAACTGGAATCATGACCCATTCATGTATTACAATTTGCCCATTCACCACAAGATGTCATTATTCATCATTCAATCCGACATGTACTCCGTCCTGGGTAAGACGATAAACTACATCCAACAGCAAGGCCTCTGATCAGGAGGTTTTGAGGAGCGTAGAACCACCTCTTAATCGCTGGTATTCCCATGTCCACCCTGACCCGAGTTGGTAGCAGTTTTTTAAGGTCCCGGCTATGGGCAAACCCCGAAACTGAGGTAAAAAGCATTATAAAAGTGTAAAAATAGGTTTTAATACCAGAAATACTTCGTAAAAAAATTATTACCAGAAATAATATTTAAAAAAAAAAAAAAAAATTACCAGCAATACATGTTTTAAAATATTACTAGCTATACATTTTTGAAGAAAAAAATATTACCAGAAATAGATTTTGACAAAACAAAATATTACTTGGAAAAAAAATGTCGAAATTAAATGATCTATTGAGATTGATATGCCGTAAAACACAACAAACCAAACCGATATGTACCAATAATGCCACATATACACGGGGAACCTAAAGAGAAACATGATATAAAAGCTTCAAATGTCCACTTTTTAATTTTAAAACAATTTTCGTACAAAAATGCATAAAAATTTATATTATAAATCTGAAAAACAAACTAAAATATAACAAAAAACTAAACTAAAATATGTTAGTAGGACCCGCCCACTCCACAAAAATACGAGCGAACGCCGTGTTCTGCCTTGAGGCCGAGATCAAATGGGACAAAACCAAACTGAAGAGTTTGGGAATCTCGACATGGATCATAACCAAAGATAACACCAATCCCTCACATTAACTAGGTACACAAAGTGAGTCTAGCTTAACTAGGGGAGGCGCCCGACAGGAACCCCACGCCTTGTGTCAAAGGGGGGAGTAAATAAAATCAATGCTGATCCTCATTCACTCCAACTAAACTCGCCACTTTTACCGACACCAAACGCTTTCGATCACATTTGATTTTCATTTTGAGCTGATGCCTAAAGAATCCGATCAAATCACGTTAAGAATAGCGTTCGTCTTGCAAGATTCCCTTCATTCGCGACGACCATACTACCATTCTTGCCACGGCTAGTAACGTGAAAAACACCATCCGTTTCAACCAAAAATACGGGGGCCCACACATTATTGCACGCATATGCGAGATCGATGGACCGCGTATGACGACCCCTGATGTCTGGAGATGGGATCCTGGTGGTTAAGGGCTTCAGGAGTAAAGGTTAGATACTTCTGATTGCCAACACACCACTTTCGCCCTTAATTGGGGAAAGCGTTCTTTTTATTTTGGGATAGGATGTGGGGAATATGTCTGAGCCCTAGCGGGAGAACTGGGGAGGCTTCTAGCCTTACCTGAATTGGTGTCTTTTCTGACTGGAGAAGCAAGGACGGATTGGTTGGGAATAGCAACTCGCATATTTTTGGAGCCTGTTTTTTTGGTCCAAGCCGATTTAGTGGATGCGGGTTGTTTTCCACCACAGCAAAAATACTAAAAAGTTCACCCCCCCCCAAAAAAAAAATCACACTTGGCCCACAAGAATTTGACAAACTAGGAAGCGAAGAAAAATGTTTGTTTCACTTGCAGAAAGTTGATCCGCGCTTGTAACAAATGTGACTAAATTTGTCCGGAAAGAAAGACTTTTTTGATATATTTAATGCATATAATACAATTGTGCCAAAAGGGAGGGGGAAGGGTTAAGGCTGGTCGATACTATCTTATACCTAGCTAATCAGATTCACGACCCATTCATTCCTTACAATTTATACATTCACGGCAACAACTCATCATTCAATCCTACCCCCCCCCCACACACACACAGGGAACCTACAGAACACCCAATGACAAAAATTTCTTTGTGTTATAGAATTACATATAAAAATTAAATATGTAATAAGGGTCGGAGATGAACCCGGAAATAAAGTAAATAAATAACAAAACACACAAACTAAAGCTAACGGATGTTAGTAGGACCCGTCCACCCCTCAAAATAAAAGAAGCCGCTGTGTTATGTCTTCAGACAAAATTACTAAGAGAAAGGGAAATGTAAAATGAATACGGGCAAGGGGAAAAAGGGAAGCCAAAAACAAACTTGTGGTGGGGGATCTCGACTTGGATCATAACCAAAGAGGAAGCCGAGAGCAGGCCAGGAACGGCACTCGCATTAACTAGATAAACAAGAAGTTTAAACACATTTTGATATTGGTAAGTTCTGACTGTTAGGTGGTTCCGTAATTTTGTTTTGGTCACGTTACCCCTAGCCAATGGCATCTGAGGTCTACTCGAAAACTATGTTTATATGAGTTAACCCGCATTTGGCGCCAATTTCATTACTAGGATAATAATGCACTGGCTGCGGTAAGTTTTGTTTTCCTCTCCTCTGTTCAAGAAAAGGAATTTGTCTACTCTATTTTCTTAGTAAATCATGTTTACATACATACATACACACACACAATATGATAATTAAAAAAAAATCCTAATGGTTACGTTAAATGAAGCTATTATTTACCTACCAGATAACTCCTAATTTGAATGAAACAACCATTCCGCCCACGAACAAACAGCTGGTTCACATGAAATAATTATTTATACGTGAGCCAGTAATTGCCTTGACCGAAAAAAAAAAAACCATTTCTCCACAAATCAACTGTTAAAAGAAACCATTATTTCTTTACAAATTAATTTAACGATACTTAAGTTTAATGGCTAATTAAACTGAAACAGCCGCGTCCTGGGCAAGACGATAAACTACGTCCAACAGAAAGGTTTCTGATCAGGATATTTTGAGAAGCGTGGAACCACTTCTTTATAGCTGGTGTTCTCACTCTGACCTGGGGTGGCAGCACCTGTTAGTTTCCCAGCTATGGGTAAATAGTTTACTCCCAAACTGGTGTCAAAACACTATGAAAGTGTAAAAATAGGTTATAATACCAGCAATACATTTTTTGTAAAAAAATTAATACC